ATATACATCGGAGCCTATAATTTAGATATTAAAGCTATTGAGTAGCTTTTATAATTGATCTAATGATTCCCAACCGATTCACAAAATATAAACATAAACATACAAGAGAGCTTACGTACCGTAACCTCGTAGACTTTTGATCTCATACTAGCGTGAACTTTGCCTCTAAGAATGCCTTGATTATACATAAAACATTCTATATGATCAGATTTGACGTGGTTCTCCCCTTTTGCGATAGATTTCTTTTCATCTTCGAAGTAAGATAGCAAAGAAGAGATTGAAAATAAGGCCATGATTAATATGGCACCATACACAACGAGACCTCAGCGTTTGTTTAGAACTGAGAAAAATGCTGTCATGGAAACGTGACGTCATGGCTTTGCTTCTCTATAGCCAATAGAATGTGGTTTTATTTCTTCCAATCAAAAGGCGTTGTGAACGTGTCTCTTGCTTGTCACTTCCCAACTAGGGGAGGGATGCAATGCAAAAATATTAATCGTAAGAAGATCGTTAAGATTTCCGCGCTCGATGGTTCACAGGCAGCCCAAGCTCACTACGAGAAAAGCGGACGTGACTCTTACCGTGTTGCGTAACGTTTTATATTTATAAAGGTTTGTATGGGATGTTATCGGTTTGCCTTAAAAGAGAGAAAAAAATGTCTTGTTTTGAAATATAATGGGCTCACTTTATTGCCTTGTTGTTTTCTTTGTTGATTCCGAACGTCTCAGGCCATTTTGAAGCGTTTTCGGCGAGTTAGCGCTATGTTGGTGTTCAACTGCTAAAAGAAAGACAAGGCCGGAAACCTATTTTAGAAGCGTCCGTCGCCCGAAGCGAATAATTCCGCCAAAAAATTTCCACCAGTCTCGATTCCTCCAGAAAATCAAAGCAGAGATGTTGCAGTTCCATTTTCCATTCACTCGATTCACAATTCCTCCCCCAGATCTTTCACTAGCGATACTTTTATCTCCAGATCGATAGGCTTTCCCATTTCGAATTTGGCTGGTTGAAACGACCACTGTCCCTTCGCCGATCGCACAGTATGTTGGGTAACAAAAATAAGCCCGGCGAGGGTAGCCAGCGGCCTGCAGTCCAAAAACAAACCCGTTAGCTCCCCTGGTCCCCTCGAGAGGTTTTGTCAAGACCGCATTGTTTTGATCGACCAATCAACATCGAATGAAAATGTGTTTACTAATTTAAATATCTCAGTGGAAACCCGAGATCGATCGCCATGTGCACGTTCCTGAGTGTCAAGCTATGAACGAAACCTGCGGCGAAATTCCAGGGGAGCTAACGGGTTTGTTTTTGGACTGCAGGCCGCTGGCTACCCTCGCCGGGCTTATTTTTGTTACCCAACATACTGTGCGATCGGCGAAGGGACAGTGGTCGTTTCAACCAGCCAAATTCGAAATGGGAAAGCCTATCGATCTGGAGATAAAAGTATCGCTAGTGAAAGATCTGGGGGAGGAATTGTGAATCGAGTGAATGGAAAATGGAACTGCAACATCTCTGCTTTGATTTTCTGGAGGAATCGAGACTGGTGGAAATTTTTTGGCGGAATTATTCGCTTCGGGCGACGGACGCTTCTAAAATAGGTTTCCGGCCTTGTCTTTCTTTTAGCAGTTGAACACCAACATAGCGCTAACTCGCCGAAAACGCTTCAAAATGGCCTGAGACGTTCGGAATCAACAAAGAAAACAACAAGGCAATAAAGTGAGCCCATTATATTTCAAAACAAGACATTTTTTTCTCTCTTTTAAGGCAAACCGATAACATCCCATACAAACCTTTATAAATATAAAACGTTACGCAACACGGTAAGAGTCACGTCCGCTTTTCTCGTAGTGAGCTTGGGCTGCCTGTGGGAAGGGCAGCTAATCGATTCTTATTACAGTTGCTATTTTGTAGAACTCCTTTACAGCATATAGTTCATAAAGACTTCCAGACAGCTCGCACTGGAACATAATGGCCGGCCTTGGTAATAGTAAGAAGTAAGTAATGACTGTGAAGAATTTGATCCGGGATTCTCATGTCACAACGAGTTCTTATTTGCGGCTAGCGTGATGTTTTCATCTTCTGAGAGAATGATAGTTGTGTGGGACATAACAGATGAAGTGGGTTTCTCATCCGCAGTTGATTCGACTTTGCTCTATCTAACAGTAGAATTGAGCTGTTGAATATTACGGAAATTAATGTATTTTTATTCAAATACATTAACTTTCGATTAACTTCGAAATCAATTGCCGCATAGGAAAGAGAACTTTGTTGAGGTAATATGTTCGTTGGGAGTTAATTCTTATATAGAAATCCTGGCTTTAGTTCTCTCGGTCCTGACTTGGTGACGGTTGTTTTAAACATGTTTTAGCCGCGACATTTTTGTTTAACCTCGTACTCATTATTATGCAAATTACTCTTCGATAAACGGAAAAAATACCAGAAGCGATTGACTTCCTCTGGGAATACGGCTCTGCTCGGATCGTGCCCTTTTATCACGTCCTCTTGAATGACTCACAAATTAGATTCTGTGACGATTTCAGTCTAACAAAGGTAAAAATCTAGTAACGAAAATAGAGGCTGGAGTCCAAAATTCCAAACTGGGAGCTAACAAATGGCTTAAACAAAAACTCGAAAAGAAAATACAACAAATTCCGTAAAACAAACAAAATTCCCAAAATCATGGGTAGCTTTTTGTTTGTTTGTTTTGAGTAATATCATGCCAGCGTAGTTAGTAGTTCCCTCTACTAACTATGATGCCAGAGAGAACGATCCAAGTCTACCCAGAGGACGCCCCTGTGGGATTAGCCCTTAATCCTCTTACCTACCAACCGCGCTCGACTTATAAATATCCTGATGTGATTATGCAACAGTTCAGTTGACCTCAGACCTTGCTCTTGTGAGCTCCTCTTCCCATTAAAGGTAGAGCTTTAAATATATACTTGGCCTCCACTCTTCCTTTCCCCTCCGATAATCGCACAGCCCCTTAGATGTCGGTCAAGCTAAAGCAGTTAATACGCATGCGCCAGCAAGCTTTTCACGCCAACAAGTCAAGCCTGATGTACAAGTACTAACGAAACGCAGTAAATAGCTAAAGGAAACGGTGTAAAGCAAATTATTACAATTCCAAGGTGTAAGATCTTAAAGGTGTCAACCCGCGCCGGTGGTGGAAGGAAGTGAATAGGCTCAGCGGATCAAAAAAGCAAAATTCGTATCTATTTTCCTCCCTCAATGTTCCTGAGTACAACAACTTGTCTCCAACTCACTCACTCACTCATGCCCTTGGCCTCGGGTGAGGTATGGGCCAACAACCTCCATCCTCCACCTCACCCTGTCCTATGCAGTGCGTCGTAGGTCAGACCACGACCAGTTAGATGCCCGTATCTCTTGTCTCCAACAGAAGTTGCTAATTCCATCAACCATGCATTACTGGAGCCACTTCAATCTTACGAGCCCATCGAGAGAGAGAGCGTGTGGCCTTACAGTTGCCCCTAGAAGAGAATCCGGAGTTCCTAGAGGTGTCCGTGCAAAGAGTGAATAACAACCAGCTTCACCTGAATAAGTATAAAGCCCGTGGCCCGGATGGTCTTTCCAACTGGGTGTTAAAGGAGTACGCCGAAATTCTAGTTACCCCTATTCAAAACATCCTGAATGCAAAAACTATCCTCTATGTGGAAAATTGCACTTGTCACCTCCCTGCCTAAGGTGAAGCAAGCCACCGACCCAAAAAAGGAACTGCGTCCAATCTCTCTCACTTGTACCCTCTCGAAAATATCCGAGGACTTTATTGTTTCTGATTACACAAAGCCTGCCTTAGAGAGCTTAGTTGACTCCAACCAGTTTGGTACCATATCTGGTTCTTCAACCGTGTTGGCACTCGATAGTATGATTCATAAGTGGCCTCGAAGCAACGGATGGTAACGGTGCTTCTGTGCGTGTCCTCCTCTTTGATTATCGAAAGGCCTATGACCTCATAGACCACAAGATTTTGGTCAACAAACTGAAGCAGGTAAATATTCCTAATAGCGTGATCAACTGGGTTATTGACTTTCTTTCAGGAAGATCTCAAAGAGTCAAACTTGGAAAGGACTTCCTTTCAGAGTGGGGCACAGTGCCATCTGGAGTACCACCAGGGACAAAGTTGAGTCCCTGGCTTTTTCTTTTAATGATCAGTGACTTGACGGTTCCAAGTATCTTTAACATGTGGAAATATGTTGATGATGCTACGGTATCAGAGAGCATACCTAAAGGCCAACAGAACAAGTCAAAAGAAGCAGTCAGTAGATGCTATCTACGACTCGTCCAAGGAAAATTTGTTCCAGCTTAATGGCGAGAAAACAAAAGAATTAGTTATATCCTTCATTCGTGATCCTCCGCAACTCCCTAAGCTTTGCATAGACGGATCTCCTATCCAAACCATACAGAGCACAGTTACTCGGTTTGACAATCAATGATACATTAACGTGGAACGACCATATAGAAGAACTTGTCAAGAAAGCGTCTAAGAAATTGTACTTTCTTATTCTTCTTAAGCGTGCGCATATTCCCACTTCAGATCTTGTAACATATTTTTGCGCATGTATTGGGTCTTCTCTAGATTACGTTTGCCCTGTTTTCCATCACAGTTTACAAAGTATCTTCAAGTTGAGCTTGAAAGTGTGCAAAGGAGGGCCCTCTCATGCATTTTTCCCAGGATGCACTACTCGGACGCCCTTCGGTTAGCAGGGCTCGAGTCCATCCGGGCCCATTAGGAAAATTTGACAGAGCATCTGTGTAAGTCTATTGTTAATGATTCACGTAATAAGATTACCATATTCCTGCCTCCCTCACTTTCTATTTCATATGAGCTGAGAAGGCAGAGGAGGTTTGCCACGCCTCTTGTAAAGACAAATAGATTTGGAAATTCAGTCACTGTTAAGAGTGCGAGGGAAGCATTTAAGTGATTTTTAAGAGTAGTCGTCTTTGTAATTTTATTATAGTGGTAGTTATAGATCATTTCTTATTTCTTTCTTGTAAAGAGACGCAATTCAGTTTTTTAACTGCAATGTTTTTCTTAATAAATACAGTCTACAGTCTTCAGTTTTTAATCACATAGTTACATTTTAGCTGCTACAGAAACTGCGGAAGTCACTTGTAACACGTATGCGTTATTAACCAAGCGTGAGGTCAAGATGACTGGATATTGGCCGAGTTTTTTTTTTTTTTTTTTTTTTTTT